GCATTACATAAGCGCTGGCATTATTATCGTGAATAATAATAAAAAATTGTTTCTTCCTAGCTTTAATTCTATATGACACATGGGCCCACTAAACCAGTAATGTTGACAAGTCTTGTCTACCGAGCAACTTTGCCAGGGAATGCTCTGGCATTCCAAAAAATGTCTGAAAAATCCCTCATTTCTACACATTCCTTTAGTTGTGAAATTTTGGAATTGAGCATGTTTAACCTGGAGAAGAGAGTTGAGGGGGACCTGAGAGTTATCTTCAAGTGTTTGAAGCACTGTCTATAGGAAGAGGAATTAACTTATTTGGCTTGACCTTGGAGGGCAGAGCTAGAAGCTGTTGTTTATTCTTCATTCTGGGAAGAGAACCGTGACATCAGGAAGGTGATGCCATGACTTTCAAGTGAATTGGATTTAAATGAGGGAGGGCTGTGCAAAGTTACCAGCCTTACTTTCTCCTCTGGAGCCATCTGGGCCCAGTGGCAAGACATAGATCAGGACGACTGGAGGTGGTCCAGGATGCGGTGGGAGGCCTTGACCTTCTAAGCTAAGGTCTTTCCACTCTTAGTTTGACTGGGACAATGCCTATTCAGTGATTAAAGCTAGGTAAGAAATGAGGCATAGAAATGGCTTCTTTTACCTAGTCAAAAAGAAAAATCCAATCTGGGAGGGGAAGACCCTCAGGCTTTCTAGTCAAAACAGAAACAATTGCTATTTACATCCACTGTGAGCCAGAAGGGCCCAAACAATGACTAAGTTGGTTCTTTTAAGGACAATACAAGGGAATTCTCATCACTTCCTGTCTGGCTATTTTCCTGGACTTCAGGATCTCTAGAAACTCAGCATTCTGCAAGATAAAATCACCTCTGAAACTCTCACCTCCTAAGCTCATTTCCCACCTTTGCTGCAGGATTTGCCGCCCGCCCCCACCTCTGGGTAATCCCCTTTCTTGTCAGCTTCTTTTTATGTTCTCTTTCCCCACTAGATCGTGAGCTCCTGTCAGATGCCGTTTTTAATATCTCCAGCACTTAGAACAGTGCTTGGCACATAGCAAGCATGTAACAAATGTTTATTAACTCTATCACATAATCAATTTTTATAAAAATGTTATGATGCTGAGAAAGAGGTGCATATTTCAGTTACTATTTAATAATTGAAAAAGAATATGGAGGGCAGAGCTAGAAGCAATAAATGTGTAAAAGCTTACTTAAAAGCTCCTTTTTAGTAAAATTGAAAATATTAAGAAATATTTCTCTGTTTGAAGGTGGGTTAGACTGAGGATAAAAGGTCTTTCTTAGGGTGGTAACCAAAACTTCGAACAAAAGAGTCTTCCTCTCCCCCACCCTGCCACCCCTGAAATGATCATGATTCATCTAAAGGCAGTCTTCTCTTCCTCATCTCCTGAAGGGATGGTGCCCAGCCTTCTCCATTCAGGAAGGAGGATGGTCTCAGGGAGAAGATTCTTTTCAATCCTTGAGGGGAGTAGTCCACAGAGGAACTGAGTAGTGACTATTGTTTTGGATTGTTAACAACTAAACTTTGTTTTAACATATTATGATCTTTACCTCGTCCAAAATTTCTATAAATATTAACTCAAATTGTCTTGGGAAGAGAGAGATACCTGCCAGGAAGCATAGGGGAACAATGCCAATTTGAATGTCTCTAAGCCAGAAATGGCTTGGATTGTTAAAAGAAATAAAAGTTTCTGGCAGACTTGTGCCTGAAGCACAGAAATAATAAAATAATAACTAGCACCTATATAATGTTAAGCTTTACAAAGTGTTTTACATATATTCTCATTTGACTCTCACAACAATTCTGTGAGGTAGGTGCTAGAATTATCCCCCTTTTATAGATGAGGTAACTGAGGCAAGGTGAAGTGACTTGCCCAAAGTTATACAGCTAGTAATTGTGCAAGGGAGGATTTAAAGTTAGGTCTTCCTGACCCCAGGCCCACTGCTCTTTCCACTGTGTCACTTAATTAGTATGGTGTGTGTGTGTGTGTGTAACATATGTGTGTGCAACATATGTGTGTGCATACGTGTGTGTATATATATGTATGTGTACACACACACATATTTCCTCTTTGATGGGTGGAAGTTTCAAAGAGGAAGATTTAGCCATGGCATCAGGAAAAATTTCTTGTTGAGTCATTTTTCAGTCATGTACAACTCTTTGTGACCCCATTTGGAGTTTTCTTGGAAAAGATACTGGAGTGGTTTGCCATTTCCTTCTCTGGCTCATTTTATAGGTGAGGGAACTGAGGCAAACAGGGTTAAGTGAGTTGTCCAGGGTTACACAGCTAGAAGTGAAGAGGTCTAGGGGTTTTGGGGTGCTGGGACCCCAAGATTGCGGTACCGGAACCTGCTGAATGAATTCAACTCAAATCTTCTTCAGCCAGAGGAAAAGTTTATTAGTGATAAATCACATTGACCAGGTGACTAAAGACGAGCAGGCATGAGAAGTTCTCAGCCTTTTGAGCGTGAGATTCTCAGCCCCTGAATGAGGGCCAAGGTGGATCTTAAATACTGAAGTTAACATTGGGTGGCCAGAGAAGGGGGTTGGGGAAAGGGTCTAGGTAAGAATTCTAATTGAGGAGGTCAGAGAGATTGAACAGACAATGGGAATAGATAATGGAGCGAACAGGAAGGCAGAAGTTTGAAAGGCATCTGCACAAAATCAAGGTGGGGCTAGGACTTTCAAAAGGAGATAAAGGAAGTCGATAAGGAACAGTTTGAGACCAGAGAAGGCCTTTCTGGGGCCTGTAGACAAAAGGGAGCCTAAGGCTTTCAAAGGGAGATGAGGGTCTGGGGCCTTTTGGGGCAAAGGGTGAAGATCTTGGCTTGGGCCCCGCCCCCATCAGAAGCATCTGAGGCCATATTTGAACTCAGGAAGATGAATCTTTCTGACTGCAAGCCCAGTGACCTATTCACTGTGCCACCTAGCTATCCTCAATAATTGCCCTTAATAATTGCAAATGTAGAAAGGGCTGCCTGGGGAGTGAATAGGAACTTCTTAGATGGAGATCTTTAAGCAAAAGGATGGATAATTGCTCTTCAGATGCGTAGAAGGGCTCTCTTTTCAGATATGTTACACTAGATTGTCGCTGAGATTCTGTGAAGTCCCAAATGGAGGTATGACCATCCATCCCTTCAGAAAGACTTACCTTACATACTGCCTTTTATGGGCACAGAACTGGTATTAGCCTTGAACTAACTCTTTTCTCTCCTCTTCCCCCTTAGAAGAGAGCTACTTTAGTTCTCAAACAGCTTACTAATTAAACTGGCAATGAGCCTATGTCTGACAACTCTACTCTTAGTTTTGGCCTTTATCATTCTCAGTAGAGCAAATTTGTTTTGCAGAAAAGGGGATAGGCCCCAGAGTCCTATGATGGTCAGATGAAAATAGTGATCTCAGAGAAAGTTCACACACACACACACACACACACACACACACACACACACACACACACACACTTTGCTATGATGGCACTCCAGTAAAAAATTTGTATTTGTTTCCTCTTCTACCACTATGCTTCCTTTACCCCGTTCCTTGCCCTGCCATTGTGTTGAATGCCACAGAATATCCAAAGCTCCCACACTGGAACACATTTAACCATGTACTGCCACGTATAGAATACACATATATACATATACATATACATACATACACACACATATTAGTCTAGCTTTGTATGTATATAGGAATGAGATAAGTTCAGACCACAGGGGTGGGGAACCTGAGGTCTTGAGGCCACATGTGGCCCTCTAGGTCCTCAAGTGTGGCCCCATGAGACCTTGAGGCTGCAGGTTCCCCACCCCTGGTTTAGAGCAAGAAGACATAAGTTTAAATCCTGTTCTGTCCTTTGGTTTCCTTCATCATACAGTATATGCTTCTATAAGAAGCTCTCCTGATCCCCCTAGTTACTATCGCAGTCCCTTCCCAGTCTAAGGCCTTCCTGGCTCAGAGTGAATGTAAATAGCAACTGTTTCTCTTTTGACCAGCAACCCTGAGGGTCTTCCCCTCCCAGTTTGATTTTTTTTTTTTAAATTAAAGCGGCCATCCTTGACTCACTTCTGAAGGAGTAGGGTGTTGCCTCACTCAAAGTGAGAACCTGGAAAGACCTTAGCTTAAAAAGGCCAAGGTCTCCCATGGCATCCTGATTGATATCTGGCTACCGAACCCAGATGGCTCTGGAGAATGTGAGGCTGGTGACTTTGCACTGCCTTCCCTCATTCAAATCAAAGTCAATTGCAAGTCATGTCCTCATCTCCCTGATGTCAGAGTCCTCTTCCAGAATGAAGGACAAACCACAATTTGCATTCATTTATATCTTCCAAGAGGCAGTCTGGTGCAGTGGATAGAGAACTAGCCTTGGAGCCAGGTTCAAGTTCTGCCTAATATGTATTGGCTGTGTGACCCTGGGCAAGTAACTTAACTTCTTGGGGCTCTAGCAAATTTTGTAAGACTAAGTTGCAGATAAGGTTCTGACCTGCACTGGTAGCACTCCTCATGTAGGAATTTCCTATACTAGTGAAATCACAGGTTCAGTTTCTCTTGCTATGGATACACTTATATATGCACATATTTTCTTCTCCAATAGAATGTAAGCTTGTTAAGAGGATTCTCTCCTTTTGTATCTTCTACACAATGGCTGGCATAAAGTGCTTAATTAACAGATCCTTGTTGAGTGATCCTACTGACCCCAGTCCATGTGAGCCCAGGATTTGGGATGCTGGACCCTTGCCTACAGGATAATCATATACCTGAGTGACCTTGGGTATGTGATTTCCCTTCTCCAAATTCATCTTAACTCTAAAATCTAATGATGCTACACCTGCCAGTCACAGTTCTACACCTTTGCAAGCTGGATTTGGCCAGCGTATCTCCCGATCTATCACGTTCCTCAAATCTCTTCTTCTGCCCAGGACACCCCTTCCTCTCCCCCTGCCCCAGGAAGCCTGCCCTGTATGAAAAAACATGAGTCCAGGACAAACCTCAATTTCCTTGACACTCTTTGCAGATAATATGAGGAGGATGCCCATGCCAAGAAAGGATACTCCAGTGGCAAAGAAGCCAGGGAGGACTGCCCGGGCCGTGAGGGAAGGTCTGCAGGCTGGCAACTGCTGCTGTTGAAACGCGGTATTGTCTGGCATTCTGGATGGCAGACCCTGGCAGTTGTTTCTTTTCATCTCTTGGCTCTCTTGGTGGCTCACGGGCTTTCTGGGCATGTAAAATGTTACTAAAGTACTAATAGTAATTAAAAAACTCTTAATAATCCCAGGGCCTCTTCTTGCTCCAGGTAGTAGGGCATCATGTTTATGAAAACTTGGCTATTTCCTCAAAGTAGTCATTAAACACATCTGAGGTTTAGTTTAGAGAGTCATCAATGGAGGGTATCTGTCTATTTTCACTCAGCTTGGGTTATGGGTAAATGAAATTTACTCTGATTCAAAGGGGCTAATACACTTCTGGCTTTTGCTGCAAAGTCTCAGCTGGGTTCTGTACTGAATCTCTGAGACCTATTTTGGTTTTGGTGGTGGTGGTGGTGGTGGTGGTAAAGATTACTCAGTGAAATGTTTCCACAAAACAGTGATTTCTTACACCCTGCCTGGCTGACCTGGTAGATGCATGACTAATCTAAGGGCAATAATTTCTAAAAAGAGAAAAAAGCCCATCAACAATACTCAATTGATCCTGAAGAGCTTCTTTAAATCTTGGGTAGTGAATACAGTATGTTTCGTCCCCAAATGGGATTGTAGCCAAACACAAGATTAAGGCATGGTGGAGAGAATTGTATTACAATACTTATAGTTATGTAGAAGGGCTAAGGCTTGTTCTACTAGGCCCCCTCAGAGGTCTTGGGGACCAATGGGGTGCCAATTATAGAGGCAGACTGACGTTCAATATAAGATAGTGTCCTAACAATTAGTACTGCTCAAAAGCAGTGTAAGGCTGCTTTCACAGGTAGTAAGTTCTCGTTACTGGAGGTATTCAAACAGAAATAAGAATATTGTAGAGGGGATTCATGCTATAGGTAGGGATTTTAGCAGTTCTCTAAGTGTGGTATGGGGACCCCTGGGGTCCTCTAGATCCTTTTAGGGAATCCACAAGATGAAAATGATTTTCATAATAGTAAGATGTTTTAATTTCTAATATGGTAAATATCAAACAACATCACCCAGGTAAACAAAAGCCTTTTAGGATTTTCAGTTTTTAGGAGTGTAAAGGGGTCCTGCCCAGAAAGTTTGAGAATGATTGGATCAGATGACCTTTTAATTCCTTTAAGGCTGGATGGTTATAAACTAATTTGGGAAATGACTATATGATTAGACAATCCTAGATCATCTACAGTAATGTAGGAAAAGTGTCAAGGAAAACAGATAATTCCAAACTTCAACAGTTTTGCTTCCCCACCCCCAACCCACTAAACTTCTATCAGGATCATTTACAACTAGCAAAGTAGAAAAGTTTTTAGTTTCTTTCCCAGGAGACAGAAAGCTTCTCAGAGCTTAGGTCTCAGAGTTAGGAAGTCAATCACTTTTGACAAGGTCTGGCCTAGGGGTGGGAGCCTGCGGCCTAGAGGTTACATGTGGCCCTTTAAATTCAAATCACAGAACAAATACCCTTAATAAAAACATTTGTTCTGTGAAACTTGGACTTAGTGAAAAGGCTGCACCCAAGGACTTAGAAGGCCACAGGTTCCCCACTCATCGTCTGTCCCATTCAACCTTTTAATATCTAGGATAAGCCGAGTTTCAGAGAAGGTGCTGACCAGTATTGGTTGACAAAATTTCTCATCTGGAACTTGGGGCACCAATGAAATCACAGGTCCAGTCGCTATACTTATTGTTAATCTATCTCCCTTCCCTCGCCCTCCTCTGTCTCACCCAGGCTGGCAGTTCAGTAGTCACTGGAGGCTGATGCCCATTCCAGTCTGGACAGAAGCTCTAACTTGCTCCATTTTTCATCCTGGGCCAGTTCACCCCTCCTCAAGCAGCCTGGTGGCTCCCCACTTCAGGGGGCTCACCATTTTGGTGCTGAATTCAGTTTAGATACCCTTTTGGCTTTAGCCCAACTGCAGCTCAGAAATTCCTAACTCAAGTGGTCTACCAGGTTCAGCCTCACCAGCAGTAAGGATTTTAGGTGTGGGCTACTATGCCTTGCTCCTTCCAGTTTCTGCTGAAGGAATTGGTCACAAGACAGTAAGAATAAAAGAAAGGACTGGCTAGTCCATATACTGAATTATCAATCCCTGAATTAGAGAAAGTTGACTGGAAGGGCTAGTTTGTCAGATTTGGTATATTTGTGAAAAATTCCCATTAAATCCCCAATTAGAGAGGAAATATTTATCTCCTCTTTGAATTTACAATGTGGAAGTTAGAAAGTAGAACTCAGAGCTTTTGGCTTCAGGTGGCTCAACAGTTTTATTGTTCTCCCATTTCCCAAACCTACTTCTTTCACCCAAGAAGCCAGACTGTGTTCACTTTGCTTTCAGGTAATATAGTTATTAGTTATAAACACCTCGTTTAAGAGAAGTAAAAGTGGAGGCATGATACTTATGGCAGGAACTTGCTGTTTCTAGGACTTAACGGCCCTGCTGCAAATGGAATAAGGCTGCAGAGGACGATACCAAGAAAGAGGCATGCCATGCAGACCAGCTGGCTTGGAGGGGACTGGAAAAATATGCATGGGGGTTGGCGCTGGCAAAAGAATGCTCACAGCTCACTTCCATTGTTTGTTTTGCTAAAGCAAATATGGTCAAGAGATTGGGTGTGAAAGGCGGTAAAAAGCTCTGTGACTAGTTCAAACACAGAGGTGGTGCATTAAATTTTAGGCATGGTGGGGGCATTTTAGGGGATCTGATTCATGCTACTTGGTGGGCTTTCCTTACTCAGCAAAAGACTTGCAAGGTAGTTATTAAAATAGTGTACCCATAAAAAAGTCTGGCACACATTTGGTACTTCATAATGCTCATCGTCTTGACTTTTTTGGTGGAGCAGGGCCTTGGCAGGTCGTGATGTAGGAAAGTACCTTCTACTGAAATGTACCCTTTCCTGGAGCAGCTGGGTAACTTATTTGCAACTTGCAATGCTAGACAGCTGCCTGAGACAACTGAGAGGTTAAATGACTTGTCTGTGGTGATATAGACAGTGTCAGGAGAAGAACTTGGACCTAAGTTCTCCTCCCTCCAAGGTCAGCCATAAGAATCAGAGCTGTCCAGAGGCAGAATGGCCTGCCTTGGGAGGCAGTGGGTTTCCTCAAACTGGAAGTCTTTAAATGGAATCTGAATGACTAACCTGTCATTAGGGATACCGATCTGGGTTGGACGAGATAACCACTGAGCATATGTACTTCAGTCTCCCACGATGTGACGTGCTCTTGGGTGATATTATTGCCTACATGATGGTCCTTCTTTTTTAAATTTCTAAGCTCTTCTTCTTCCAAGCTGATGGTATCATGTATTGCCTTTCTTCATTCATCAGATGGGATAATGCATGAAGAATTTTATGTGGTACTTTCTTTAAAAAATAGTTCACAGATATTTCATTTACCCTAAAAGGTTTTGATTTTTAGTATGTCTTAGGAACAGTCCCATGATTTAGGAAAGCCACACAGATGACGAGCTGTTTCCTACTCACACCCTCTTTAGTCTGCTAAGCAGATTCCCACCAGGTCTATAAACGTGCTTTCTACTGTTTTAGCCTTTTTCAGTGCTCCCATTCTTTCCTATGTAACTTTGATGGGGGGACCTGTCTCAGCTGTGGTGAGCTGATGTGTCTCCAGCGGGCATACACAATGCTATTGGACACTCCAGAGAAGGGGCCTCTAAGTTTTTGCCTTTGGTTCTCCCTTATCATTGTACTGAGAGCCTTCTTTAGGGTGACCAGATGTCCCGGATGCATGGGCTAGTCTCTCATTTCATTGCCTTGTTGTGTTTTAACTCTGTTGGAATACACATGGGAAAGTGGCAGGAAATGCAGGCACCCCCCATCTCCCACCCCCATTTCCTAGGTCTGGCAAATCAATGCTTGAAAAGTCAGTCAGCCTGAATACTGCCAGCAAAACCCATACCTCCTTCCCCTCCTCAGTGGTATTACAGGTTGCACATGGATATTTGGAGGTCCTGGACTTTTACTATTTTCTTACCTGATGATTTCCTGATGCTCTTCTCTTGGTTAGCCAAAGACACCGTATAACATCAACAAACTACTCCTGTAACGTTCAGATGTTGGTGAGGGGGAGGTCAAATGCTCTGCCCTTTTTCTTTACAAGCAAAGAGCATCCTTCTGTTTATGGGCACTTTATCAGCGCTCCTGAAGCATTACGTACCTAGGAAACCCAAGTCCTCTTCAAGGTTTAGCCCAATCATCACCTTACATGCAACGCCTTTCCCGATCCCCACAGGTGTTGCTGTTTCTCCCTCAACTTTCTGAAATTGTTTAGCATTACTTACGTTGTGGTTAAAAAGGACCCATAGTTCAGAGTTTAGGGTACAGTCAGGTAAAATGGGATATCACAATCCATGGCAGGGAGAGGTCGTTCAGTTCACAGAGGAATATCTCTGTCAAGTGAGTGCTAATTAGAAATAATTTCCAGCCAGCGCACGTAGAGGAAGATGAAGAAGTAAATATGAAGGATAATTATGCTGCACTTCAATTTGTTGCTAAATTCAAAATAACAATGCTTCATACGAGGAGAGAGAAGATACAGGACACAGTTCTTCTATGTAGGTTTGCAACACCCTCAAACCTTGTTTGTCACTGTGAGAAGGACATTGATGATGACAAGACCATATTATGAAAATCTTAGCAATGTACTGGGGTAGGGATAAACCCTAAACACAGGGAAGTAGACTTGCCTGCTCAATTTACACTGAAAAGGAGCCTTGTTCAAAGATGGAGTCACTCATGTCAAGAGAGGAAAGATACACTGGGCCCCTTTTTGCTTCTAATAAGTGTTCACTGGACCAATGAGCCAATAGCTTGTATGAATTTTTATTCTACTTTGTACATGAGTTTTTAGCTATTAATTGGGGTATCTCAGTTTTCTTACACAATATAAATCCTATTCCCCTCCTTCTTTGTCATGTTTCTAACACTTGTTGACCCATGAGCAAGCTGTCACCTTGTTTGGTAACACCTAGAACTACTTTACCAGAACTCAGGCCAATTAAAAAAAAAATTAAGCCAAGATTCAAAAATAGTATTTTTCAGGCTGTTGATAATATTTCAGGCTATAGTGTTGTCTTTTATGAGTGTGAAGAGTATCCTATACACTTACTATTCCCCATAAATAACAAAAATAATATTGTAGACTAATACTAGACAGCATGTAGAGTCTCCATGAATCTAGTAAAAATGACACAAATTTGTTCTACTTTATTATAAAGAGAAGGAAGCTGGCAAAAAAGGCAATAAGATTCAGGCCTGCTAAAGCATCCCAAAAGGCAAACATCCATCTTGTGTGACTCATTTGGCAGTGTGTGGTTGCATTAAATACAGATGAAAATTCTATCCTTATGTCAAAACTTGAATCTTCATTAGAATTTGGAAATTAAAAAAGTCCCAGCTTCAAAGACTCGGCTCTACACAGGCTTATCAGTCTCATTTCCAGCAGTTCAAGAACTTCTTTTCTTATCTGAACAAGAGAAAAACAAATGATCAACAATGGTGAAAAAAGGAAAAGTTCTCAATTTGAAGAAGAGACATTTTGTTGAATTAATTCAATGCTCTTCACTCTTGCTATTTACCCAGCTGTTATTAGAGAAGTGGCCAGAAAAGGATTAGGTCCAAACCCACATCTGATCTGGAGGTGAAATGTTTACGTAAGTAAATGAAAAGGTCCTGCAGAAAGCATCAGTTCCATAAAATGGCCTCTTGTTTGTATCTGTTTTAAAATATTCCATCTCAATGGATTTCCAAGGTCTGTCTTCTGGACTCTTTACAGTCTTGCGTTCATTGTTAAAAATGAATTCATATTCCAATATGACTATTTTTTATTACCTTTACTGATATTGCTAACAACCAACAATAAAGCAGTATCAAAGAACGAGGCACAAGATAAAAATATAATTATCCTACTTCTAATCAGACTACTGGTGGCAGTGTGCTGTTGTGGCCAGAGGATTGACCTTGCAGCTAGGAAAACCTGACTGACTCTGATACATCTCAGCCGAGTCACCATGGGTAAGTCTCTTTTAACTTCTTGGTACTCAGGCAACTAAGACAATAAATTACAGACAGTTGCCAGTTAGGGGCGGAGGAAAGTGTTGGAGGAGGCAGGGGAGTGGAATGTCTGAACTAGATAAAATCTTAGGTCCAGTCAAAAATAAGCAAAACAAAAAAAAAATTGGTGGCTTATCAGCTAATCACTCGGGTTCAACCTGACCAATCAAACGTATCATTTTAGACAAATAATTCAATTATATTTAGCTTATGTAATTCTAGGGACATTGGTATAAGCAGTTAGCAAATTCTTCTAGGCTTAGTGTTAACTGTATGATTTCTGGTTGTAACTGGGCACCTCACTGTGTCCTGGGCTTAGTGCACGTTCACTCTAATTTCCTATGACTTCTGAATCTGAACCCTAATCAGTAATCTTCAGAATGATGGCCATGAGGCTCTGGACAAGATCTTCATTTAGCAAAATAAGGCAGTATGCCATAATGGAAGAAACAACGGCCGAGGAGTCAGAAGACTGCCACATGAGTCTGGGCTCTGCTGTATGAGTTGCTACAGGTTGTGTGAATTTGGACAAATCATTGGTTTAATACTAGCCACACAGGGGGGCAGCTAGGTGGTGCAGTGGCTAGAGTACCAGCCCTGGAGTCAGGAGGACCTGAGTTCAAATTCGGTCTCAGACCTGACACTTAGTAGCTGTGTGACCCTGGGCAAGTCACTTAACCCCAACTGCCTAGCACCAAACAAACAAACAAACCAACTAACCAAATACGAGCTACACTAGGTAGCTAGGCAGCACAGTGGATAGTGTGCTGGGCCTGGAGTCAGGAAGACCTGAGTTCAAATCTGGTCTTAGACACTTCCTAGCTGTGGTGATCCAGGGCAAGTCACTTAACCCTGTTTGCCTCAGTATTCTCATCTGTAAAATGAGCTGGAGAAAGAAATGGCAAATTACTCCAGTATCTTTGTCAAGAAAACCCCAAATGGGGTCAGACATGATAGAAATGACTCGGCAACAACTAGCCACACTGTAGTGTTTTTACAGCAAAGGAAACTGAGACACAGGAGCTCAATGGCCTTCCCGTGGTCACACGGAAACCCTCAGGAGACTGTTTTGAGGATGAAAAGAGATAATGCACATACTGTGCTTTTGTAAGTATAATGCATCATACAGAAGACAACTTTTATCCTTAAAGTTTGTCAGCTACTTTAAAATATTCAGTAAGTCTGAAAGATTATCCCCAATTACCTTCCTACATTACTCTGATACTGGATTTCTCCAAGACACTTGGTAATAATAGCTAGTATTTATATAAATTTTTTAAGTTTTGCAAAGCAAAACTAACACATATTAACTCATTTGAGCCTCACCACAATCCTGTGCAGTAGGTGCTATTATTTATCCCCATTTTATAGATAGGAAATTGCCTAACCTTAACCAGGATGTTAAGTGACTTGTTCAAAGTCACACGGCTAATAGGTGTCTGACGCAGGAGTAGAAATCAGGTTGTCTAGACTCCGAGTCCAACACTCTACCTACTGTGCCTCCCTGCCTACAGCCAAGGTTTCCCTCTCAGATAAGCAACACACCAATTGCTAATTTGATTTAAAAGAAAAAAAACCTCAAATTAAATTAGCAGTACTAAAAGGGCAGGATTAAAAGGACCCACAGAAAAGGGGGTACACTTGAGGGGTGGAAAGCTTATTAAGTAAGCCATATGTTGAGTCCTTTGGCATTTTCTGTCTCTTAAAAGTTAAAGCATGAGAATCCATATAACAGAATAGATGCTTAAGAATGTTTAAGAAGTGGAAAACATGTTGTCAGAAGGGTTAACTTCTCCACAGTAAGCTACCTCAGCGTCAAATGCCAGAAACCAATTTGAGAGCCAGAATGTGCTGGCTCCCAAAGTCATGGGCTTTATTACCATGTTTGAACTCAAGTTCAAATTGCAAGAAAATGTGATTAAAAACAATTGCTGGTTACATGGTACCTCGGGAATGTCCATCAGTCTCCTCAACTTCTGATCTCTCCAGTTCCAATCAAAAACCAGATACTTCAGGGAGTTCAAGTTAAGGACATCTGAAAGGGTCAGAGAGATGTGTTCTAGTGAAGACCACATGGCACGAGCTTATCAAAGTGATTTTTCCCTCCTCCCCCTTCTTTGGGTCGCTTTTACAGTCGCTGCTGTCCTCTTTCCAGGCAACTAATCTCAGGACATTAAGTGCTACCCTGGCCTGGTGAAAAACAAACACAACCACTCTTCAGTTTTCCTCATCCCCTAATCCTGCCCCTGAGTCTGAGGAAAAACACAAAGGCAGAGAATCTACTGTTGTTAAGCTCATGTCCTGGCAGGAAATCCATCCCAAGCCACCATTACGTGAAACCACAGAGGCTCAGTTTTCATCTCTGGAAACAATTTTGTAAGATGCATCCTGTGGTTTAGGGTCAGTGTCCCTTCAGGGGAGATGTGTCAGACTCATCTGTGGGACCCTCACAGAGGAAAATCAGATGGAAGCCGGAGTGACTGAGTTGTGTGGTGAACTTTCAGCATCTGATATAATTGTTAGGGCAGAAGGGGAAATTGTGATGAAGGGCTCTGTTTGGAACTTCAAAAAAAAAATTAACATTAGTAAGTCAGTTACCCACTCTGTACCTCAATTTCCCCACATAAGAGGTAGAAAATGCAATTCTCTTTAGGGATAATCACTTAGTTTAACATCCTCACTCTCTCTTCCAATTTTACTGATCAGGAAATGCAGGCCCAGAGAGGTTGACTTGTCTAAGAGTCACACACTGTTGTTCATCTTTTGTTTTTGAAGAGGACTGATGACATCCCAGGCGATGTCTTGACTTGTGCATGAACTGGATGTGAGTGAGGCAGAGTTGCACAAAATTGTCAGTCTCACTCTCTTTTCCTGAGTCACAGAAGTCCAGGGCAGAACAAAAGTTGAGATGTTTGGCCTTTAAATGTCTGACAGAATTCACCTGTAAATCTGTCTGGTCATGGTGCGTTTTTCTTAGGAAACTCAGTTATGGCCTGTTCAATTTTATTTTTTCAAAATAAGATCTATTTAGATACTCTTTCTTTTTCTGCTAATCTAGGCAGTTTATATTTTTGTAAATATCCTTCCATTTCACTTAAATTGTTAAATTTATTGTCACATAATTGGGCAAAGTAACTCTTTATAACTGCTTTGATTTTATCTTTGTTGGTGGTACATTCACTCTTTTCATTTTTAATACTAGCAATTTGGTTTTCTTCTCTCTTTTTCAAAAATCATATTAATAAATGGTTTACCTATTTCACTGGTTTTTTTCATAAAACCAACTCCTAGTATTATTTATTACTTCAACAGTTTTATTACACCCAATTTTATTAATCTCTATGAAGGGGGGAAGAGAAGAAAAAATGGGTGGAAAAGAAGTTACATGATAACTTTATATTATATGTGTTTATATATATATACACACACACACACACATACATTTTTTCATTTTATATCATTTATTTAGGTAGCAGAGGGAAATAAAGTCACCCTCATAATACTCATTAATAGCAACGCTAGGCCACATTTGGAAAGCAATCTGGAATTATGCCCAAAGAGCTATTAAACCTTTGAGCCTGCAATACCACAACTTTATTGTATATTTAAAAGGAACAGCAAGTTGTACATAATGAATTTACAGTTTTGTGTGCAAGTGTCTTTTTTTCTATTCTGCTGTGTTTTGAAGATGCTTGTTTTACTTCTTAAGGTCAGGAAAAAAAAAAGACTGGCGATGACCCAGGATGCAATAGATGACTTTGGTGTCTTTGATGCCTGACCAAGCTCTAAGCGCTCCACAGCACCTGCTTTAGCCACTTTCAGGGCTGTTGGAACAAATTGCTGTCATCTACCCATTCCACCAGAGTGTTGAGTAGGGAGGGATTGGGAGTGAGGGAAGTCTTCACATGCTTGGGTAGGCATCCCCCTAACTCACCAACAGGTTTGAGGCCTCTCAGTTATCCTTAACCTGATTTAGCCTGTCTACTGAGGCAGTTTTACTGGAGTGTGGCCGCCACACAAGCCACAGCTTTTTGGAGCCACGGGTGAGAGTTGGGCGACAGGTGGACAAGCCATCCTGAAAAGGGCTCCACAGCCCTCACACCAGAGATGCTAGATCTCCCTGCACATCCCATATGCCCCAAGAGTCACACAGTGAGTATACGGCAGAGCTGCCTCTTGTGCTCTTTCCATTACGTTACACTGGCTCCCTGTTTGACTGGACCTAGAAATGAAGTCTGAAGCCTTCTCCTACTCTTCTATCCAATACTGCTACTCGATACAAGCAGGTGGGATAGTGGGGAGGAGGGGGGAACCCCTCATATTTTCTTAAGTGGGTCTCAATGCCAGCTCCACCACAACCTTGCTGAGGAACCTTGGGCAAGCCAATTAACTTCATTATATTCACTGAAGGGGCTTTATGCATTTGGAGGGCCTGGGTAAGTCATTATTAATTAATGTCATAATTATTAATTAAGTCATAATTAATCAATTAATGTCTCTAAGCCTCCTTTTCCTTATTTTGTAAACCTTAAAGCACTATATGAATGTGTTGTTATTTACTATTTTCATAGGAAACCTCAGTGATAACTAGTTTCCAGGATGGAAAGAAAAAGATTGCCTCTGACTTCTGGGCAGGCCTCTATCTCATACAACCTTGTATCTCACATAAAGATGGAAAATCCTAACTGCATTCTGAGCTTTCATCAACTCCCATCCCTGCTTAAAAACCCTGACTGGCCCTTTGATACCTTTGATGGCCTTCAAGGTACTTTTTATCAATTTATTTCTCACCACCCCTCTACATAAGGCCTCTGCTCCTACCAGACTGTATTCATCACTCTCCAACACACCAGATACATTTCCCAACCCTGTAACTTTTGCTTTACACCATGCCTTGGAATATTCTCTTTTCTCCTCCCCACCTCTCTGAATCCCATCTGTATTTCAAGATCCAGCTCCTGTGACACCACCTTTATGAAACTCTCTCAGATTACCCCAGCCCATCACACTTCTGAACTCTCAGAGTATTTCTGCCAACATTTGGCACTTACATTTTTCTGCCCTGGATCTTACTTATTTTTTATGCATAAGTATCTTGTCTTTATGAATATAACTTTCTTGACAGCAGGGATTTTGTTTTAAATTTCCTTGAGTATCCTAATGTGTAGGAAAAGGAGTAAATATGCCCAATAAATGTTGATTGACATCTCTTTGGACAAGAACCCTTTTTGGTCTACAGAGAGCCCAAAAAACTATATTTCAATTCTAATATGTTTTATCCTTTAGTCCTCTATCAGAAGAGGAACCAATCAATGGTACTATGACAATAAGACAGTCACATCCCACTCTTAGAACTAATTCAGGTTAAGTGGGTCCATTTTCTCACAGATTCCATTAGTCAACAGTTAGCTAGGAGGCTCTGGGACACCCTTAGGCCCTCGGGGTTCCTACCTTGCTGAATGAGTGCTTTGATCCTTCCAGGTGTTCCCACTCCCAAATGCACCACACCTTTTTCCAACAACTTTACCTGCTCCTGAATCTGCTCCAAGATAGAAAAGGGGTGTCAAAAAGAAAGAACTTTCAGAATAGACAAGTTTAGAGAAGTTTCTCTCAAAGATAAAGGGTGGGAAAAGGGTGCAAGGACAGTCACCAGCAGGATCAGCCTCTATTATAGCATATGGTGACCCCAGGAACACAATCTCATGAAAACAGGCACGTGAGCGTGCAACCCTGGCAAAAGTGAATGAAAGCAGCCCTATGGTTAATAATAAAAACAACTACTACTAGCATTTATATAAAGTTCATGAAGTGCTCTACATATATCAGATCATTTGAGCCTCACAAAATCCCTGCAGGTTAGGTGCTCTTAGCCCCATTTTACATGTAAGGAAGCTGAGGCCAAGATGTTAAATGATTTGCCCAGCATAACACAGCTAGAGGTTGCCTGAAGGAGGATTCAAACTCAGGTCTTCCTGGCTGAAGTCTCCGTATCATCTCACTGATTCATTGGCACTAGCCTCTTTGCTGTTCCTTGAACAAGAAGACACTCTATCCCCCAACTCAGAGAAATGTTCACCGGTTCTCTCCCCAGAGCATTCCTTCTTCTCCCTGATTCTAGTGCCTTCCCTCTGTTGATTATTCCCTATTTAACCTGCCTACAGCCTTTCTGCATATTTTTTTTGCATGCTGCTCCCCCATTAGATTGAGAGCCCTGAGAACAGCGACTATTTTTTAAATAATCTTCTTTGTATCCCCATCACTTAGTACAGTGCCTAGCTCATAGTAGGTGGCCAACAAATGTTTATTGCCTGACTGACTAACCCAATGGTTTTCTGAGTAAAGGAAGGATTATAAAGAGAAGCCTACTAATGAGAGTGAAAGAGGAGAGCGTAAAAGCCAGCTTGAAGCATAACATCAAAAAAACTAAGATGCTAGAAACTGGTCCCATCACTTGCTGGCAAACAGAGAGAGAAGAAATGGAAGCAGTGTTAAATTTTCTATTCTTGGACTCAAAGATCACTGCAGACAGTGACTGCAGCCATGAAATTAAAAGACACTTGCTCCTTGGAAGGAAAACCATGGCAAATCTGGGTGGTATACTAAAAAGCAGAGACATCACTCTGTCAACAAAGGTTCATATAGGCAAACCTATTGTTTTTCTAGTAGCAATGTATGGCTGTGAGGTTTGGACTATAACTAAATGCCACAGAATCAATGCTTCTGAATTGTTGTGGCGAAGACTTTTGAGAGTTCCTTAGACAGCAAGGATATCAAATCAGTCAATACTTAAAGAAAATTAATTTGGGCTATTTACTGGAAGGTCAAATATTGAAGCTGAAATACTTTGGTTACATAATGAGAAGACAGGACTCATTGGAAAAGACCCTAATGATGGGAAAGATTGAAGGCAAAAGGAAAAGGCAATCAGGGTTAAATGACTTGCTCAGGGTCACACTACTGGTAAGTGTTAAATGAGGCTGGATTTGAACTCAGGTTCTCCTGACTTTAAGGCCAGAGCTCTAGCCACTGCACCACCCAGCTGCCCCTAAAATTTCTCTTTTTAAGAATAACCCTTCAACTGCTGGAAGATGGATCTCATGTGCTCCCTGAGTCTCTTCTGCAGATAAGGATTTTATTTTGTGTTACTATTATATTTCAGGCAATTTAATGTGACGCATGCTATATCTGAATTTCAGCAGAGGACAAGAGTGTCTTGGAAGTTAACAAACATGAGCTTGGACAGACTCTGAGAGACAGTGGAAGACAGAAGCGCCTGGCATGCTATGGTCCATAGGGTCATGAGAAGTCAGGCTTGACTGAACAACAAAAATTAATGAGAAGAGGTTGGGGGAAAGAAACTGAAGAGCACCATACATGTCCACCCTCAGTACCATCACAGGATTCTCTCCACATAAGCTACTTTTCTTAGTGCACCACAGAATCTCTCCTCACCTTTATGTGTTTTGCAAATAACTTCAGCACTTTGCAGTCTCCTTTGAATGCTGCCATTGATCTAGTAGAAAAACAAACAAGCAAAAAATGAATAGAAGAGGAAGGCAATTCCCATAATCAGTGATGAGCTGATAAATGTTTAACAACTGACTCTCCTAGAAAAAAAACACCGGCAGGATACACGTTAACATTTTCTTCATCATTTTCTTAAGTCTAGACAGACAAACAACGAGTCCTGATCTGCAGTTTACCGATTTCTAAGGTATAAATGCTCACACTGGAAATTTAACAATTGTCTCCAGCACACCCCTGTCCACAGTCCAGATAAAGACTTGAGGTTCAAGTTTTTTCTTAAATACAACATTTTGCAGGACAGATAATACATTTGGGGGATGCTGCTACTGGGGGCCATTAGCAACCACATTCTATGCTATGGCAGAATCAGAGTTGGAAGGGACCTCAGAGGTATACATAACTCCTACAGGAAGAAGACTCTCTATCACATCATCCAACATTTATTTAAATGCTAATGAGGGGAAATCCACTACCTCCCAAGGCAGTATATTCTAATTTGGGGTCCAAACCTAAAGTTCTGCCTTTTGGAGCCACTTAAGTAACTAAAATCTCTCCCTCTCTTTTTTTTTTCTTCTTTTGCATTTTTTGGTGAGGCAATCAGGGTTAAATGACTCGCTCAGGGTCACACTACTGGTAAGTGTTAAATGAGGCTGGATTTGAACTCAGGTTCTCCTGACTCCAAGGTCAGAGCTCTAGCCACTGCACCACCCAGCTGCCCCTAAAATTTCTCTTTTTAAGAATAACCCTTCAACTGCTGGAAGATGGATCTCATGTGCTCCCTGAGTCTCTTCTGCAGATAAGGATTTTTTTCGTGTGTTACTATTACATTTCAGGCAATTTAATGTGATGCACACTGTATTTGAATCTGTAAAATAATGAGCCATGTCTAATGACCCAGAATAATGGATTCTTTTGTATTTGAACTAATACTTAATGTTGGCTGGTTACTTAGGGTGCTTTCCACCTGGCTAAGCTGGTGAAGAATAGGCTTTAAAGGACATTAATGCCCTGCACACAGCCGAGTAGGAACAGGTATTATGGCAAAATTAAGGATTACTCACCAGCAGTTCTTAGAGAGAACTAGGAGAGAACTTAGTGTGCCTGCACAGGAGCCAATCTGTCAAATCTAACCTTGGAAGAGATTGTGGGATTATAGGAGAACATGAAAACACAGAGAACTGGTAAACCCGGTAAGGCAGGAGTGTGTTAGTCTCTCCTCAAAAGGTATTTATGCACATTTAATGCTCAAATCAATTTGAGAGGAAGGCCCTTCCTGGGCCAATCTCCTTGCCAGATTTTAAATCTGGAATTAATTTTTTCTACTTAATGTTTCAAAGTGGCAAAAAACAGTGACAGCATATTTTTCTTCCTTATTAGCAATGAAAAGTTGACATGAGTTCTTATGACAGCAGGTGGAACAGCTCAATGTATAAGGCTGAAAAATACCCAAAGAGTTTTTAGGGCTACGGTAATTTTTAGGGAAAAACTACAGCTGAAGGTCGGACCTATTCTGGAGAGGAGAAGGGCTTATGTGGGGCTGTTTTAAAGTACACGTGTGTAAGAAAGGGAGGCTGAAAGCCAGTGGCTTATTATGTTTTCTTCTAAATTCAGGCTTAGGTTACTACATAAAGGTAAGTCTATAGTCAAGCAAATCCCCTAATCTCATATGTTTATTTGGTAATACTCTCTCTGTTGAAATCTCATCCAAAACTCACCTCCCTCAAGCAAGCATTCTCTGGATAAACCTAATATTCCATTCTGATCACTGACCACACTGTCTCTCTAACCCATCCTTTACAAAGAGCTACCAAATGGATCGTTCTACTGTACATGTCATAGCATGTTATCCCCTTGCTCAAAAACCTTCAATGGCTCCCTATTGCTTTCAGGATGACATATAAGCTCTTTAGCTTGACATTCAAGGCTCTCCACGGATTGGCTCCAACCTACTTTTCTAGTTTTATTTCATACTATTCTTCTATATTCTATAGTTTAGTCAAACTGGATTATTAGCTATTCCCCAAATTTCTCTTGCCTACATTTGTGAAAGGCATTCCATCAACCCTAGAACAAATAGAGGCATAGACATTGTTGGTTAGACAATGAAAAAGTTTCTATGAAAAAGATCTGGGAGTTTAAGTGGACTGCAAGATCAAACTCATTAAATCACATATCATTAAGAGAAGCGTAGAGCCCAGAATGAAGGAGTCCTTCTCTGCTTTGCTCTGGCTAGATCACAACTATAGGCAGTTTTAAGTATCATGTTTTAAGGAGAATGTGGACAAGATGTAGATTTCCATGAGAGAGATGCAATCAAGATGGCAAGGGACCTTATGATCATGCCTTACAATGTTCATTTAAAATAACTGGGAAGTTTAACCTACAAAAAGGAAGAGTGGTGGGGCTGGGAGTCTGGAGGGTAGAGTCTAGAGCCAGCGCAGACATCCCTAAGCATTTGAAGGACTGTTATATCTAAGGGGAGTTATATTTGCTTTACTAGGTTCCAGAGGGCAGAATTACAAGCTTCGGAGAGGCATGTCTTAAGGAAATACTTCCTTACAATTAGAGGGGTCCCAAGTGAAAACGGATTATTAACACAGGAGAGAATGAGTTCCCCCCTCCCTAGAGGTCTTCAATTGGAGGCTGGATGGCTTTTTTGAGAATAGTGTAGAAAGGACTTATTCCTGTTTGGGTTTGGGCTGCATTGGGGGTTCTTACCCTGGAATCTACAGACTCCTGGATTTCACAAGGTCCATGAACTTGGAACAGGAAAAAAAAATTTAATCTTTATTTGCACTAATCTCTAACTGAAATTTAGCATTTCCTTCAAGAATGAACGTAGGCAACAAACCACAGTAGTAGTAGTAGCAGTACTCATGACTTTGTCAATAGAAATCACTGATGTTTTTATATCACAATATAGTTGTTGCAGATATCTTGAAATATCAAGTAGGTACTAACTTATAGGTATTCTAATAAGGGCTAATTAGTTGCAACTAACATACTTCTTTTGAACCTTTGACCATTTCAAAAGAAGCTCTGAGCTCCCAAGTTTGTCTTGTAATCCAAGAATGTGCTGAATTACAAGTTCATTTAAAGGCAAATTAATAGCAGCCTTAGCTATTCAGAGGATATTTAATTTATAGATTACTCATCTCCCCCTCCCCCTATCATTGTCCATTTTACTGCTCACTGGTGTCTCTTCCAAAGGCAAATGTCAGAGGATGGGGGAGAGGGTAAAATTCTAAACTTACATACTAAATTGTTGGCTGCTCTAATAAATGATTCATTGGGATATTAGCCTAAGAATATTATCATCTGTAGGTTTTATTTAGTCAAAGTCTCTCTTGCCTAAAGTATTTTTTTAAAAGAATGTTTCATTTTATTTTTCTCAATTACATGTGAAAACACTTTTTAACATCCATTTTTTTAAAACAATTTTTGAGTTCCAAATTTTCTCCCTCTCCCCCACCCCATCCTTGAGAAGGCTAGTACTTTGATATAGATTATACATGTGCAGTCATGCAAAATATTTTCTTATTAGCCATGTATTGCCAAAGGTATTTGAGAAATGACTAAATAACTAGAAAAAATAGATATTCTTCCCTTTCCTAATTATGCCTAAGAAGATGATGGGAATTTTTAGCTGGGGGTGACGGTAGGAAAGAGGGGTTACTGGCATAGCGGATAAAATGCTGGGTCTGGAGTTTTGAAGACCTCAGTTAAAACCCAGCCTCAGTCACTTATTAGCTGTGTGACCCTGGGTAAGTCACTTGACTTCTGTTTTCCTCAGTTAACTCATTTGTCAGGTGGGGACAATAATATACCTCCTTCTTGTGAGTTATCGTGAGTATCAAATGAGATAATTACTTTAAAGTGTTTAGCACAGTGCCTGGCACATTGTAAGTGCTACAGAAATGTCAGCTACTCTTACTCTTACTATTACAGTAACCTACAAACCTAATGAGTTCCAAGGCTCGCAGTGCAGAGCTACAGATTATCAGCATCACCAATGACTTCTTCTCCTTGTGGTTCCTTCGAAGTTTGGCCCATTTGGGACAGACTGTGAAAAATAAAAATCAAGATCATCATTTTAAATATAATGGATCAAGGTCACATAGGCAGTTAGGGGCTCTGACTATAAAGCTGATGCCCTTTACACAACACCACCTTACTTCTCTCACCTCGCCTGACCCCTCATTTTACAGATAAGTAAAAAGAAAACCCTAAGGTCCAGAGATGAAGAGATTTATGTCATGAAGCAAATCTGTCCTGTGCTTTTTAATAAATAAAAAAGAGAGGCAGCCCCTTCCTCCCTCAATATGTTCCCTCTGATTTCATAACAATGACCATATAAACAAAGACAAAATAAAACTTAAATTCAGAAACTGAATAAGGTCATTACTGAATTTATACTTAAAAATAAAATCTGTTTAATTATCTAAGATACTTTTGTTTTTAAAAAGTAGTCTTTTAACTTGTAAATTCAATTTAATGACTATATTATGAATTAATAATCAAACACTGATTTGATTAATAATAAATAATTGTTATTCAGTTTAATTTAATTATTAACCATCTACTAAGTGTGGAGGCACTGTTTTAGGTGCTGGGGATGTGAAGACAAAAGGAAAATCTGTCCCTGTCCTCAAGAAGCTTCTATTCTATTGGGGAGAAACAACATATATACTAATAAGTAAACACAAGGTAATCTGACAAGGGAGAGCAAACAAACGACTACAGGGAATCCAGAAAGGCTTCCTGTTGGAGCTGGCAACTGAAGTAAACTTCATAGGAAGCTGGGGAATTGAACAGGGAGAAATATGGAGTTAGTAGGCAAGGGGGACAACCTGTGCAAAGGAACACAGGCAGGACATAAGGACAGAGAAGAGTTTCTTTGAAATAATCAGGATCGACTTATTTAAATACAAAAGATTATCTCTTCAACAGAATAATGACAATTTGGTAAAGCCAAAGGATGCTGGAGTTACTTACTTTGCTTTAGATATGAAGAAAGGCTATGAGATAGATCATTGGCTGGGAGGAAACAGGAATCTACAAACATAAAAAAAAAGATGTTTTTACAGAGAATTTTAACAACAATACTAGCTAAAAATGATAATAACTAGTATATGAGCAATAAGATGGTGGATCAGACAGAGTCTCATGACCTTTCATATCTCTCCAAAATAGAAATCATATGCCAAAGATAAAGCAACTTTGGCTATTTCCATGGTCTAGGATACCCAGAACACAAAAGTTAAAAAAAAAAAGAAAAAACAACCACCCTAAGCCCAGAAATGGACCCTCACTGACCCTGAGCACCTCTCCCCCACCTCGAGCAGCCAGGCTACCCGAGTAGACCCAAGGACACAATACAGGCTTACATCAAGACCCCCCTTACAACCCGTCTTCCCTCCCTTTTCAGGGCCAGAGAGACCCTGGCTCTAGGCCAGGGATTGCTTGGGCCTCAACAGGGGAAAACATGGGTATTAAATGAGAAGAGGGGATCAGGGCTGAGGGGAAGAAAACCAGTGGGAACAGTCATCTTAAAAAAAAAAAGATGAAAGTAACTGAAGGAACATAAAAGTGTGTTTCCAGAAGAAGGCACCTGAAAATGAAACGCATACGCACAGACAACATTAATGCATCTAGGATGGGAAGGAAGGTGGTCAAATAGGGAGAAATCTTTTTTATCCATTTTCTCTGGCAGGTATGTGATGAATACAGAGAAGAGTACAAAGATCTATATGAACTGATGCAGAGTGAAGTTAAGCAGAGCCAAGAAAACAATATGCATAGTGACTACAACAATGGAAATGGAAAGAATAACAATACAACAACAAATCAATATAATATATAATATATAAGTCAATATAACAAAATTAAAAAGATTGAGCAGGACTCAAATAAAGAGATATAAGAGGACACCCACAACCTACCCCTTTGTGGATGTGGGAGGTCCACAAGTGTTACACACTGCGCAAGTTTTCAGACTTTCAAAAAATATCAATCAATTGCTCTCTTTTTTCTCTCCAAAAAATGCTATTTCTCATAAAGGATAGCTCTTTGGGAAGAGAACAGTGATGGATACATGGGATACTTTGGTGATATAAGAAACAGACGTTATCAATAAAACTTATTAATATAATAGCTGTAAGCCTTAAAATAATGCTTTAAGGTTTATAAAACACTTTGCAGATATTATCTCATTTTATTTATAGTAGGTGCTATTGTTATCCTCATTTTACAGATGAAGAAACTGAGGCTAAGAGGTTAACTAACTTGCTTAGGGTTACTTAGCAAGATGTGTGTAAGGCTAGATTTGATTTCAGGTCCAGGGCTCTACCATTGTTCCGTTGAGCTGCCTCTAGGCAACAGTGAAATTAAATCAAGGGCTGGTGGGATGAACTTAGTCAAAATCGGTAAAACGTTAACAAAATGAAAAGCTTATTATAATGAACCATTACTCTGTATTTTGGGGGTGGTACTGGCTTTTTGGATACTAAAACCCAGTTGAATCCTTCACATATCTGATCATCAATCACTTGAAATTAGTGGGACAGAAAAGAGATACTTGTATCATATATCAGGCCAATGAAACATCTATATTTCTTGAAAAGCAATACCATATTCATCAACTTTTCCCCCTTTCCCAGTCTCTAATTTCTTACTATAAAATACGAGAAATTTTTTTTTTCCTTATGTAATCTAAGTGCAATTCTCTCCCTCTGGAGAGTTACAGGAATAATAATCATTCACATTTAGAATGCTTTAAGGTTTATAAAGTGCTTTCCTCAATGATTCTGTGGGAATAGGTTAGTGCAGATATTATTTCCCCATTTTACAGTTGGAAAAACTGAGGATTTCAGGGACTGAATGACTTGCTAATGGTCACAAGGCTAAATGAATATTTGAGGCAGGACTTAAACTGACCCATCCTCCTTTTCACTATGTCATGATAGGTCTCCCAGGAAAATAAATTCCTTCCTTCCTTCCTTCCTTCTTTCCCTCTGTCTCAAATGAATGGCTATTTGCCTAATCAACTTTCAGGCAGGGTAGAGTAGCAGATGGAATGCTGGATTTGTAATCTATGAAACCTGGGTTCAAATCCTCTCTCTAACTAGCCATATGATCTTGGGCAAATTCCTTTATTTCTCTGGGCCTCAGTTTCCTCATCTATCTAATGGGAGAATTGGACAAAGAGACCTTTAAAGTTGCTTCCAACTCTGAATCTATAATCCTCTTCTGAATCACTCCATAGCTTTGGAAGATAATTAAAATCCACCACGTTTCTCAAGAGTATAATTAAAAAATGATTAACCCTGAAATTTATTAGAATAACCAAATATTTCTTATATTCCTATTTGTCAGATATTAATAATTTTTAATGTATAATACCATTTTAAAAGATATAGTAGGGGCAGCTAGCTGGTGTAGCACATAGAGCACTGGCCCTGGAGTCAGGAGGACCTGAGTTCAAATCCAGCTGCAGATACTTGACACTTACTGGCTGTGTGACCCTGAGCAAGTCACTTAACCCCCACTGCCTCACCAAAAAAAGAAAAAAAAGATAACAATACCTGTAATACAGGTATGTGCAAATTGTGACAACTGAATCTCACATATGACACACGTAGTACAACAGAGATATAATACTTTCACAAGTCCCTTCTTTCATAGGTTTTCCTATGTTTAGTTTGGTTACCAAATGCCCATCTTTCTTTCTCAGTCTTAGGTGTGTTTACTTGCTCTCTTAGGATGCCCTGACTCTGAGAAGAGTTATTAAGGCCTCAGTGTCAGCTCAGAGAGAGATGTGCGGAGGGACCAAAGGATCTGTGCTTGGCCTCAGGCTGCTGAACAGTGTTCTCAGTGACTTGAGTAGAGATGACATGTTTCTCATCTTAGCAGATAACACAGAACTGCTAAAGTTGTGGATAATGGAATCACAATCCCAAACATTCTTGCAAAGCTAGAACACTGGGATGAATCGAACAGGATGAAATTTAGTGGGGGGTAAGCATAATGTCTTAAACTTGATTTCAAAAAGACAACTTCACAAGAATAAAAGGGGATGAAGTATAGTTAGATGGCAATTTATCTGGAAAAAAAGACGATATTTAGTGGCCTACGAGCTCAATAGGGGTAGCTAGGCTGTGTAAGGACAGAGAACCAGGCCTGAAGGCAGGAAGACCCATCTTCCTGAGTTCAAATCTGGCCTGAGACACTTACTAGTTGGGTGACCCTGGGCAAGTCACTTAACCCTGTTTGCTTCAGTTTCCTTATCTGTAAAATGAGTTGGAGAAGGAAATGCCAAAGCACTCCAGTATCTTTGCCAAGAAAACCCCAGTGGGGTCATGGAGAGTCAGACATGACTGAAAAAATAAGCTCAGTAAGAATCAGTCAAATATAATACAGCAGCCAAAATAGCTAAAGCAATCTTAGGCTGCAGATGAATAGATTCTAGGAGTAAGGAAGTGATAACAATGCCTCTTTTCTCTGTCCTGTCTCTGTCCGATCATACCTGGAGCACTGTGTTGAATTCTGTGTGCCCCAGCTCAAAAGGCACATGGTTTAGTTGGAGAGCAACCAGATGCTGTAGGGGCTTAGGAATTAGCACAATTACTTAGTAAGCATTTATCACTTCTGGGAGCCAAGATGGCGAAGCAAGCAGTAAGTCACTCTCACCTTCCCTTATGAACCTTGAAAACCCCAGAAAATATTGCCCTAGGAAAAATCCTGGAACAGTGGAGCCAGCAGAAAGATGGGGCGCAGCAGTCTTTTACCTCAAGAAGCTAGGGGGATTAATGGGAAAGTTCTCTCCTGCTGTGGCTGAAGGGCACCAGCACAGGATGGGAGGTGTCCCCAGAAAGCCAGTGGCAAGCCCCACTTCAGCAAACCAGTGGGAAATCTTGAGCCCCAGGGTGGTGGAGCAGGCAAGTTTCAACACCAGGACCCCCCCCCCCCAATCCTGCATGCCTTGGCACAGCCAGGGGAAACAGCAGAAGCCAGCTTGGAGAACCACCATGTGCACCAGCAGACGGGCATCTATCAGCAGCTGAACTTACAGGTGAGGAGGCGACTTCCACTGGCCTGACCACCCCTACCCCACCCCTTGGGGAAATGCAGAAAAACCCTACCTGGCCTTGGCACACACCAGCCCCCACCACCAGCTCCAGCTGCCAGCACCTGAGGCCCCAGCCCCCCAGCACAAGAAGCACGGGATAGTGTCCCCTGTGCCCCAGAAGCAGAGATCAACTTTAAAGGCCAGGAAAAAGGCAAACACCCTGAGCACAAAGCAACAAAGAAAAACAATGACCACAGGGAATTATTATGGTGACAGGGAAGATCAAAACATAAATTCAGGAGAAGACAACATTGTAAATATACCCACATCTGAAACCTGAAAAGGAAACATGGACTGGTCTCAAGCTCACAAAGCCTTCTTGGAAGAGCTCAAGAAGGATTTTAAAAGTCAAATAAGAGAGGTAGAAGAAAAACTGAACAATTTCTTTAAAAATACAACTGACAAAATGGGAAAAAAAGTACACTGAAGAAAACAACTCCTTATAAAGTAGAACTGGCCAAATGGAAAAGGAGGTTCAAAAGCTAACTGAAGAAATAATTTCTTAAAAATTAGAATTGGGCAAGTGGAAGCTAATGACTCAATGGGACATCAAGAATCAGTCAAACAAAATCAAAAGAATGAAAAACAGAAGAAAGCATTTATTAAGTGCCTGATATATTCCAGGCACAATGCTGTGCACTGGGGATACAAAGAAAAGCTAAGAGACAGCCCTGCCCCTGAGAAGTTCACAATCCAATGCAAGACATGTAGGATGATTCACGAGAGATAATGCAAGAGATGCTGCAATGGTAGAAATGACAAAACTTGCCAACTGATCAGATATAGGAAGTGAGACAGAGAGAGAGAGAGAGAGAGAGAGAGAGAGAGAGAGAGAGAGAGAGAGAGAGAGAGAGAGAGAGAGAGAGAGAGAGAGAGAGAGGGGTCAAAGGTGGTACCTAGATTCTGAGCCTGGGCAATTGCAAACCTG